CCTCTCCATGAAAAAAAAGTCAGCTCTAGGTCATGACTAGAAAAATCTTGCTTTCTACATCTTGCCTTCCAAAAAGATATGCATCGTATTGGGGGGAGGGCACGTGGCATGAGGAAAAATATGGTATTTTAGGGAAGTAAGAAAGGAGGGAGGGCTGCCCGTCCCAAAACAAAGGAAACCAAGAAGATACTTGGTTTTCTACCAGGTAAACTGAAGGTCCAAGAAGGGTGGACTGACTACTTGTTTCAACTTGAAAGAATTTCTTTCCAGAAGCCTTATTTCATTCTGATGTCTCTGGATGGGTGAAAAAAAGACTACAACCACCAAGCCCCACAAAAGGATTCCACAGACTCAAAAGCCCAATTGTATATACTAACTTGGGTTTCATGACCAACATTGTGGCAGATTTTACATCTGTGAACAGAACTTGCACATACTATACTTAAGTATAAACAATATCAGAATGAAGTAAGTTTTAATAGCAACATTAAAATATGCAATTGCTGTACCATGAACACAGTTGTTCAAATTGGAGGTGGAAGTGGGAGGCAACATTAAATAGACATGAAGCCATGCCAGGTATTGCAGGCTTGTACACATTTCCCTTAGTTCAGAACTGAGTACAAAAGTCTTAAAAGCACATAGCCAGACACAAATTAAAACAAATACAATGGTTTGTACCATAAACATGTCACTTAATACTCCCAAAAGAAACATACCTCCCAGAGCTCCGCTGTGATCAAGACTCTTTTTTTTATAACCTTGTGAAGAAATCAGTAGTGGAAACACAATTGAAAAAAGCCAACGCCAGGGAGAAATGGGCCGTAAAGTACCTGAGAAGTTAAATAAAGTAATTAAAATTGGCCTTATGAAAATGGTTTATAAGAGAGATGCCAGACAAGAGTTTATATGCCAGTATGCATGTAAATTCTAAGTGTAACATAGATGACATTTCCCTTACCTCCTTTACAATTCAGAAGAAAAATAACAAGGCATAAAACTAAAAAAGAAGCACCTTAGGTATTTTCTTTAACACTCACATAAATTAATGCATATAAAGATAAAGTACGCCATTAATAAAAACTTTACTTACTAGAAATGATAGACACTGAAAAAAAAACAGACAGAATTATGCAGTAATTGAAAGGGAATTATAAGCAGTGAAATGTAAAATCCAAAACATAAGATACATTAGAGCCTGTCCTTTAATTTTGGTTAAATGGACAAGCGCAGTTTTACAGTTAGTACATACCACACTGATATATGTTAAGGTATCTTTCGTTCCTAACTCTAAAACCTCAATTTAGACAATAAAAGTATTATTTCTTTTATGCCAGTGATTGTCAACCTTTTTTGGACTTGAGGCACCCCTCATTGGAATCAAGGCACCTCTCATTGGACCCAACACACCCCTTCATAACTTTTGTGAATCGAGTGACATCCAATTTGAAAAGCTAGATTGTATATTACAGCAATGACCTCCTTGCAGAAGGGTCAGGCAGTGGGATTGGGGGATCATCCAAGCAGGGACAAGCCAGAGCCTGTGCTTATCTGCTTTGTTTATCTGCTCATTTCCTTACACCTCAGGGCACTCTTCAAAGGAACTGGCAACCCCCTAGTTGAGAATCACCGGTTTTATGTGATGAGCTGGCGGGACTACATTTGAATAAATATATAATGCAGAGAGATCTTTTTGGTACTTTTTCTTAACAGGTTTCGTAGTAACTATATGAACAAGTTTTAACAGTTATGCTGTTTAATGCATTTTTTATGCTAAGATCCAATAGAGAGGAAATATTAAGGGGGAAAGAAGACAACCTTTTCAGAATCTTTTCAGGGTCCTGTGTAGATGGCACTTTCTGCTATGTACCACATTAACATTTTTGGTATGGCAGAAGAACAATAATTAATTAGAAATTCCATATTACCTCCAAAACCCCTGTCAACACCAAAGGTTTTAGGAAAGATCATACTATTTTACTGAAGGACTTTTTAGTGTCTAATAGCAAGACCTGTTTATTAGTCCACATATTCTGAATTACCCATACAATATCTAATGTTCTCACCAGATTGACTTTTACATAGTAATACAATTTGATCACTATCACTATGTATTTACATAGGAAGGGGTGCTCCTATTCTGGAAAGATTCTGGAAGTATTTGTGTGTTTATATTAAAAAATGAGATCAGCCTTTAGCAGCTACATAACAGCTCATCTTTTTGTGGTTTTTGCACTACTAGTATACCCACCTTTTTATTGTATCAATAATATTGATTAAACTGTTTAACTGCAGTGACAGCTGATGTCATCTTAGCGAACTCATTGGGTCCTTCTGTCTTTGTACCAATTCATTCATCTCTAGGACTTGCTATTCCTAGATTGAATTATGCTAATTGTTTCTCATTTTACAGCAGGGTGAGCGTGTCAAAGATACAGTCCATAGTTTTTCCCAATGACTCCTTATACTTATACGCAAAGGTTTAAAACCTTTTGATTTCTTCAGCAGGCTTCTTCATTAAATATTTTACTTTTCGGTATTGATTGGACTTGACTCTTTTCCTTCTTTTTTTTTTTATAGACAAAAATGTAGTTAATATTATCTATTACCTTGTTACATCTACATTACCTTGTTCTTAAACCAGCCAATAGGGCCTTTTTTCTCACTCAGTGGCCATGTCTACACATTGCCATACAGTAATGATGCTACAGCATCATGCTTAATTTAGTACTTCCTTTTAGAAATACTAAAGCACACTGCAATACGGGCAGTTACTGAGCGGCACCCCGACGCACTGGGGGGTCTACTGACCTGGGGCAAGGGCTGCCCGCTCGGCCTGGGCGCAGGTTCAGTCCCCCCACGGGACACAGCTGCTGCCTGCCTCGGGCAGGGGTTGGATGAAGTGACCCAAGGTAGGGCGGCCATCATAGAGGACGTTCCGGTTTTCTGTCTTCTATTGGTACGAAACCCAACGCCTTTGCACCCTCTAATTTTCTCTTGAAAGAGAACCCATTTTTCTCTTAAAGAGAAAAATAGAAAATGTAAAGGTT